CGAGGAACATCTTGGGTATCTTCCGCCCTGGTACTCGTATCCACGTCCTCTGTCTGGGCTGCGAAAACTTTGCTGATATGTGACTCGGTCAAAGTGACTTTTTTTCCCCCCCCCTAAGGGTTCATGTCGGTCAAAAATGAATAAATTGCTCTTGGTCGCAATTTTGAAGTTTTTGAAACATTTTTCAGCCTCCATTTAGCTTCAGCGGGCTTATAATTGCATTAATAGCGTTTAATAGCTGGCTAACGTTTGGAGAGATCATCTTTTTTAGGAGCTTGAAGGAATGGAAGTCAAGCTTTGAGCTAGATTTTATGGTAAAACCCATACTGGTGGGATTTCAACCCAATTTTTGGCTGAACGCTGCATTTATATATGAGCATACTTATGCAGCCGTATCCACATATCTTTTGTAGCGGTTATTGGCAAGATGCCTATGGGAAACTCGTCCGAAATTGCTAACTCAGTCATTGAGAACGAAGGCTCTTTCTTCGCAGGATTTTGACCGTTTCACTCCGTTCTTTCGCCATTTTCCCACTATATAGCACCCTGCTAGCATTTTAGGCTGAGTACCAAATTATCGTGCCAACTGCCTTTAACTCTCGTGTGCATGAAATTTATAAAATTTGTCAATTTCAAAAAACAAATATATTTCAGTACACTGGTGTCGGCGATTCGTTAGAGCGCGAAATCTTTCCTTCCATTTTCTATGTCTGATATTCGAATTTTCCTCGCAGATATAACTTCAGCGCCTAAAGCAGTGATACCCAGACTGTGCAAATAAATAATGATTTGATGCGGGGATCCGGTTGATCCGAAGGGATCTCCACACACCCTCATCATTTTTCACACCGATGATCAATAATTTTTATCTATTTTTTCCTTTTCATATGAAGATAATATATATTTCTTCCGAAACGTGTTCTGATAATCTTAGAACAATGAAGAAATGCCAAATAAAATATAATACGCGCTGCAAAGAGGAAATGTGACACACCATGTGTGTCATGAGGTCTGAGCGTGTGAAATCCTGCAGTTCCCCGATTGTGCTTTGGTTCATGAGACCGGGTATCATCATTGAGAAGACCAACATGGTTAATCTTTTATATGTAGGTGACTTGTGTGTGCCAATTCCAGTAGTTCTCTATTTAAGTACAGTTAAAGGCAGTTGGCATGATAAATCCCTAAAGACGAGTAGGATTGATACGCCTGGCAGGACGGAATTCCGCGCCCCTGAGGAGGCGCTGCGCAGCGCCTTTCCAAGGAAGGTACCCTTATAAGGGCCCTATCAAGCTACAACATACCGACCCGAACGCCCACCACGCCCGCCCGCCCACAAATGGACGACCGTTCCTGACGCTCGTATTCATTCATTTGCTGAGCAAATTATGAAGCAAAGGGATTGGTATGAAGCGGCCGTGATGCTGCATGCATATATGGGTACACATATGCAGCCGTATCTTCGGTAGCGGTTATTGGCAAGATGCCTACGGGAAACTCGTCCGAAATTGATTTTCAAGTCATTGAGAACGAGAGCTTCGCAGGATTTTGACCGTTTCACTCCGTTCTTTCGCCATTTTCTCCACTATATAGCGCCCTGCTAGCATTTTAGGTAGGCCCAGTACCGACTTATCGTGCCAAGTGCCTTAGAGAGAACAGCGGCGTTGCAAAAAAAAATTAAGAACCTGTAAAACTCAGTTCGCAAAATCAATTTGTTGCGGAACTTTGGCACCAATATGATCGGAAAGCTATTGAAATTTTTTGACCTGTTTTATTTGGGCTTCACTGAATATTCCTGGATTGTGATGAAATCTACTGATGCAGAAGATCAGTCAGTATTTTCAATCGCAATTCTCACGTGTTCATACGTCACAGAACGTCGTGCTTCATTTCAGTGAATTTTCAGAAATGTTCTGTCACTAATTCTGAATACGGTGTATTCCGCTTCATGTTCGCATGAGAGCAGACATTGTGCTGAAAAAAAACCTGATGATGTAAAATAGTAGAAAAATATTGACGTCTGTTTTACCTCTACCCATTTCAAAGTCCACAGTGACTCACAGACTTCCTCTTTTTTTACATTTTTTACCGTGCCTATTTCAGACGTGTTGGCGGCTGTTAGGCTGTTGTTGTGACGTCTCCGTAGAGCTGCACGATTTTTCCGGCTCAAGAAAGGATACTGTACGATTGGGTACGTCACCAAATTGCACACACTGGCTTCGGACATCGGTCACTGCGGCTCCTCAGCCGTTGTTTTACGTACCCGATGAGTGACTTTTTGTGCCAATTGCCTGCCATCTTGACATACGTTGCTCATATCAGGAAATGACATTTCAATTATTTTTATTCACCTCGATGACATCACTACCACCATATTTCATGCGTGTTTAAAGCTTTTTGGTATGTCATCGAATTTCATTAAGTCGGGTAAATTATCTTTGACATTAAAAAATCGTTTACCGCTTTATTAGATTAGATATAGCGCGCAGAGTTATTCTAAATTTGTTACCAGTAGAGGGAATTGTTAGTTGGCCTCATAGAGGTGAAAGCGCAACGTCTTTCAAACCCTCGGTACATAGCGCACCTGGCGCTAATCAAATGGCCAACGAAGGGGCCGCCAAGACGTTTTGAGATCGCGCTGAAGTAATTCTTGTTCCTCAAGTCGAGGGATGATAAACCGGGATTTGCAGTGTCGCCTCAGGTGGAACCAGGTCTTGAGGTCTATGCTCCCAAGATCTTCGTTCATTTGAGTTGTACCAATGAACAATGGACTTTGATGAACAATGAGGCTCAGGAACACTGTGACCTTTAAATTATACTAAATTATACTGTTTATCCAATTTTGATGAACGTGCAAAATTTCCAAGGCTGAATGTTTAGCAAGGATGACGTTGGAAATGATTGCCTCCCATTACTGTTTCCAAAGAGGGAACTCTGGCCGTTCCAAGTGCTAGCGTTCGCTTAGTAATGACCGGAGTCCTGAGGAAAACAATGTCGTCAGAATATGATCCTAGCCCACGTCGTGGTCAACATTTGTCCTTTTCGGCTTTTTGGCTTACTAAATTAGTAGTTCCATTAGTCTTCGGTAATAGTCACCGTCATCAAATGCGGAAGAGTTCAGCTAACATAGTTTTCTCTAGTTTTTGGATGTTTGGATCCCTCGCACTCAGAGAACGTCAGCGGGAGATCCCAGAGGGCTTGAAAAGTACGGGCCGTACTCGGGGAATTCCGTAACCGATGCTGGGGAACATGCCGGGGTGAGCTGACGGTAGCGGCGTACCCAACTGCCTTCGCTCCTGTTTGAAGGATATATAAAGAGATTGCGGAAGGTTAGGGAGTCCGTAGTCTAGGGAAAAAATTTCCCATGGCTGTGGCATGACCCCTTTTCCTTTGTGCCCAAATGGATTCTGATCAGACATGCTGGGCATTCATTGTTTGGTATTTTGCCATTTTAGATTGGTTCAACTTCACTCGGTAAAGCTTGGGTCAAAAAACCCTTTCTCGGAGAATGGAAAGGCCATAACAACTGTAAAAACCCTTTCTCGGAGAATGGAAAAGCCAAAACAAGTGTGGTCAAAACAACTTCTCCGAATTTCATTTAGACCTGAGAAAAAAAACTGAAAATTCCGAAGAGGAAGTGTTAGAAACTCAAGGGAAATAACACCGCAACCTAATTATCTTGAGCTACCCGGAAGTCGCTTTCTCCTACTTCCGACATAAGTCATAATTAGCTACTCAGTCATGAATTAGCTACTCAATGTTTTCCCGGGTAGAGGGTGTGTAATGGTAGGCCACTCACAAGTGGCGCGATGGTAAAATCCTGGACTGGTTTCTGCCCTGGCCATCCAAATATACCATCTCTCCGGGGCTGGAGATCTGGGAACAGATTAGCATGGAGGATTCAACCTCGGACCCTTACATCGCCGGTCACAGTGTTTCTGAACGGAATTGAAGTGCATGGCGCATTCCAGCACTTCAAAAGCATGCTAATTTAACGGATTTCCTTCATATTTTTCCAACTTCTTTGCGACACTGCCATCCCGGGTGATCTTCTATGACAATGAGAGGAGCAAAGAATGCTCGCAAAATACCTCATGAGGCTTTTCGTTGTTATAAAATATTGCTCGATTTTGTATCCTGTCTTTTCTGTACTTGTATTGTTCTATTTTTCGAAGATTCCCAGTGTTCATTGCCTTAGCTAGTTTTCACCCAAATACGGTACACCATTTACACTAGAATTCCCCTTGAATGTTTTTAATGGTGTAGGTCAAAGTATTTCACAAAGTTGCGGTTAGAAAGGATTTTATGAAATTTATTTCTCTATAAAGTTGAGTAAGATTTAATAAATCTTACACAGGTATTTGAAGCTGTTACACAAGAACATTCCGAAGAATCATTGGCGCTGTTCAGCTTGGGAGGAGCATGTTGGTACTCATATTAAGTGCATAACGCGTCTGGTTGGTGGGACCGCTAAGGTGAAGCTGTGAGATGGTACAAGTAAGACACGTCCTGTCGCGTGGAGAAATTTTGCAATGAACGCGACCCCCCCCCCCCTTCACTATTGTCCATCTTTGCCCTCCCCCCCTTTTTTCATCGGGATTTCCCCAAAATTCTCCATTTTCCAACAAAAACTTTGCCATCGAAGCCATCGAAGAAGGGACGGGGGTATATAGCACCAGTGGAAAGGGAAAAACTACATAAAGTAAAGTCAACAAGCAGAAAAAAATTTTTCCCAATGTAGGACGTGCCCGAAGTACATATGAGCGACTCTGGTTCCAAGTATTCACAGGTCCTCGGGAGGTGGCCTGTACGAGTACCTACCACTTGATGTTCCCACTGAGCCGAGCACCACATTTTTGTGATGTGATTCTGTGAATGATACCACGGTCTATGGAGCTGGGGCAATGCTGCCCACGGCGGCATTGGGCGCCTTGAAGGTTCCAACAGTTGCTAGCACCAGGTCGCGACGCATCTTGACAGGCAGTCGTGGGAATTCAATCTTAATGTATCGTGACACTTTACTGTGCCAACTGTTGGCAGTGGCCCAGGTCATCTCAGGTCAACCTGGAAAGATTGACACAGTGCAAGATTGGGGGCTATTTCTGCTTTATAGCGTCAACCCTAGTCCACGTGACTGCTCTACCGTCCATGAAGAAGTCCGTGAAGTAGCAACGTTCAAGCACTCTGCCAGCTTGCTGGAAACTGGCTCCTCATCATTACTGGAAACTGGCTCGTCATCATTACTCGATGAGCGGAAACAGGTCAGACCTGGAAAAAATTCTTCCTGAATTCTCTCGACGCCCAGGGCACTATCGATCCACAAACAGTACTTCGGTGGGTACGGTAAAATGTGTAATAAAGCTACTCTGATCATTTATTATCGTTTTTGCTTGACTGAATTTCTGAACCGCTGTCAAGGAATGGTTATTGGGCCAAAAAAATTTCTGAATGCAACTCGTAAGTGTGGAAAATCTCACAAAACAAAATTCAAAAAGGTGCTACGGTACCTTCTTAACAAAAAAATTTTATAGAAGCAGTTGAGAAGGTCACCTCTGTAGGTAACTCAACCGTACTAAAATACACCGTAATATCACACTAATGATCATGGCATTCAAGCTGAGTAAACTCAGTGTGGCTCGATGACCTCATTCCCTCCGACATTATAGACTAGTTGCTGGCAAATTTGAAAAAAAAAACTCAAGTATAACCTTTCGGTTGACAAATTCCTGAATTTTCGCATTAATCGTAAAGAAGGAGTTAGTGCACTGAAAAGGCAGGATGGCACGGTAGTGGTATTAGACTCTGATAAGATTGAAATGTTGGCCGAGGTTTTTGAAAAAGTTTATGCTAAGCAATACGTAAGCATTGGTCTTAAACCCGTCCACGGTAGCATCCCCCATATGGAGGACTCGGCTTGGTTCAGCCGTCATGAAATTCTTGAGTAAATTTCTAAGTGGCGCAATTCTTCTTCTGCCACCCCAGATGGTATTCCATTTCTTTTCATTAAGAAAATAGCTGATGTCATTGCATCACCACTATTCCTTTTCAATTTAATGTTTTTCCAGGCTGTCGTTCCACGGTTGCATGCTTACGTTATTCCAATTAGGGAAAAACCTCTACACTGTGACCTCAAAACATGTTAGTATAACGTCGGAGTTTTGCAGACTTTTCCGAAAAAATACTCCGGAAAGTCAAGGTTAATGTTTGTCACATAGCATCTAATCATGTTCTGTCTGATGGTTCAGGGCAATCCACAGTAACACTCATGTTGGAAACAATGACTGATTGGACAACAGCATTTGATGCCAAAAAAAGTGTAGACCTAATCGACTTTGACTTCCAAAAAGCTTTCAACAAACCATCCTATCACATTACATAAGCTCCATAAGCTCACGCAAATCGGAGTTCATGATAGAATAATTAAGTGGATAGAAGAATTTCTCACTGATCGTACCTTTCAAGTGTTGGTGAATGGCTACGCTTCCAAGGTCCGACATGCTATCAGTGGGGTTCCCCAAGGAAGTGTCTTGTCCCCCATTTTATTTAATATTTATACCTATGACTTACCAGCTTTGATAAAAAACCTGGGTGTAGGCATAAAAATGTTTGCGGATGATCTAAAAATTTATAGTATCGTGGGAAACCCCGCAGATCCTCAGCTCCAGAAAGCAATAGATGCTATCGTGGACTGGTCTAATACCAACATGCTTCCGTTAAGTGCTGGTAAAACTAAAGTTCTTCATTTGGGAGGATCCAATCCAGTCACACAATACTACATTAACGAAATGGTTCTAGATGAGGTCGAATCAGTAAGAGACTTAGGCTTTCTTGTGGATGCGAAATTGACTTTTGAAGAACACATAACGGACCTAGTCAATAAGGCTAATCAAAGGGTTTTTTGCTTTTCAAATCGCTCAAGTCCAGGAACCCTATGTTGCTCATTAGGGCTTACAAATTTACGTGAGATCTATTCTAGCCGATGTGTCGATTTCCCCCACGAAAAAGTTCATTGACAAATTGGAAAGGATTCAGCATAACTTTACCAGAAAATTGTTTATTAGAGCTCTTGGTTTCACTTACAAAAGCATCCCACGGGGTCTAATCAGAAATAAATTCTTAATTTGGATCCAATATACTTAAGACTACGGCGTAATGACTTACTTATGGTTTATAATATTTTGAATGGACTTGTTGACATAGACCGCAACTCCTTTTTTGAACTAGTATCTTCTAAAACTAGGGGGGAGGGAACGGTTCAAGCTTTCTTGTAGGCCTCGTTCTCTGACAGGGCGCAAGTTCTTTACCTTTCGTGCGGGCACGGAGTACTCGAGGATGAGCAAGCTTATGCGATTCTCGGTTTCTTTCTATAAATTCAAAAAGATGGTTGTTCAGTATCTTCGCGGTGTTAAATAGTGGTGTTGTCAAGGTGATCTTCTTGTAGTTAAGTTGAGGACTCGTGTAATAACCTTTGATAAGCTTTCGCTGTTTAGTAGATTCGCCAGGTCTTAAAAACAGTGAAACAAGCACACTTGCATTACAACACCTAATAAGGGTTGAGTTATACAAATAATAACTAACCAGGTTGAAGAAGTTAACACCAAATTGTTATATATGTTAACGCTGGCCTACCTGAGGTTAGTTATTATTTGTATAACTCAACGCTTATTAAGTGTTGTATGCATGTATGCTTGTTTCACTGCTTTTTAAGTCTGACGAAGCTGTTAAAACAACGAAAGCTTACCGATAAAGATTATCACACGAGTCCTCAAATTAACTACAGAAAGATCATTCAAAAAAGTAAGCTCAGGGGTAGTTCGACAACACCAAGTGTTGTATAGGGTTAAAGTTTATGATTCATGTACTTGTTGTAATCTTCTACATTTAGTTGTGAGTCACTGTCAGTGCAGCACTGTAAAAATAAAATGACTTACTTAGCTACGAGAAACGCCTTTTAACGGGCATAGCACAACAATTTGGCACTCGGTCGAAAATGGTAGCAGGAATGAAAACCTGAACCTCATCTGGCAAACGACGTCTCTCCGTTTAGTGGAACTGAAAGGAGCGACCTATTTTGGCGGGCTGGGTTACGGTAAGAGGGCTCTCCTTGTAATCGGGTGATCACGCAGTTTTTGGTGGGTTTTGGTTGTCGAAATTCGGTAGAAAAAACAGAGCTCTCGCGTCAAATAGCTGGAGAAATGTCGGAAGCGCAAGTTTTAACGGCCGAAAACCTGCAAAAAAACCTTTGTCTCACACGACCCTGAAGCAATTTCGGACATGTTCTCCCTTGGCATTGTGCCAACAACCGCTACGCTAGATACTGCTGCATGTGTACCATATATCCATGCAGCACCGCAGCCGCTTCATAACCCTCCGTTCATTATCTGTACTTTCGTACCTGAAGCGATTAGCGAGAAACAGAAAACGGGTCGTCGTTTGTAACGGAAAAGTGCGGTAAGCGCTCGCGATATCGTCTGGTTGTAGCTTGATCGGGGAGCTACCGGGATACTTCCCTTGAAAAGGTGCGCGCAGCGCCCCTACTCAGGGCGCCGATTCTATTCGGTCTAAGCGGTATTAATCTGACAGATCTTTGGGGATTTATGTGCCACTTGCCTTTAAATCGAGATAATAATACGACAGTAGTGTTTCAGGTAGAGGGTCAGAGACAGGTCAAATCTGGCAAGAACTTATACATTGTCGGTCTCAAAGATGTCTCTACACACAGCAATTGTCACTGAAGCTAGTCGGGGCGTTTCTGCGGCGCGGAGTTTTGGCGCGGCGCCAGCCTGTTTCACACTGATAATTTTGGTGTACGACATGTGGTAGGAACTGTATGGCGCCTCGTCAACATCCACACACTGCTGATACACATTGAGTGCTTTCAGTGAACGACTATAAGTACGCTCGCAAGCGCAGTTTTTTACATTTTTCGATGTTCAAAAACAGGCTCGGGTCGGCACCATTGAGTCATCGTTTTTCCACTCAAAGCGAATGACTTCCTTTCCTCTACTGGCGACAATAGCTGGATGCTCTGTGATCACAACAGACGGAATGGATTCCACAGCGCAGAGCCACCCCAATGAGAACCTGAACCTCATCTAGCAAATGACGTCTCTCCGTTTAGTGGAACATGAAAGTAGCTATCTATTTCAGGTCGGACTGGATTGTAGTAAGAGACCTTCCTCGTGATTGGGTGATGACCAGCTTTGGTGTCGAACTTCAGTAAGGCAAGCAGAAACGCTCGGTGGGATGGTCACAAATCGCTCCCATCCTTCCAGGCTCTGATGAAGGCGTTTCCGCCTAAACGTACGTAAGCCGAAAAAAGTGTTTTACCAACCTCACCAGAGTTCAACAAAAGAAGACCTACACTACTGTCACTATGCCGAGCTTTACTGGGAGCCGTACTTGGCGATCTATTTTGAATTATGCCAGACATTACTGTCACTGGATACCGTTCACATCGATTGACAACTGACGACAACTGCAACTGACCAAGGCAATACAAAAAAGAACGTGCACAACAATCGAACGTGTACCTGCCTACGAAAACAGGCTCCAAAAGTCGCTTTGAAACCCCGATTGCTCAGCAGTGGTATTGTGAAGACTCGAGCCTACTGATTACATTTGATTAGAGCGATGAATGACTCCCGAGGGAGAGCGTTCAGAATTCATGAATGACCCCAAATGGTAGTCAGTGACTTTTTTGAATTATAGCTTTCTGTCTTCTAAGCGAAATGCAGCAGTGATTCCCCTGCATCCCAAAGAAAGGTCAGTGGTTTCGATGGTTATGATTAAGCGTCAGTGTGTTTGAAAAGGGGCGCAGTTCGATTACTGGTTTCCCGTCGATCACTGCCAAAGCCTTTTGTGGAAATCTGAAAATCCCTGTGAAGCTGTATAATAGCAGGAGCTTCGATCACACGTATAACTTAACAGAAACTAACAAAAGAACCAGAAATGCCCCACCCAACCCGAACAGCTCCAGAAAGGTTACGGGA